GATTAAGTTTTTATGACTTTAAATAAATTAGTTATTAAATCCAATATACATGAAAAATAAAAACTAATTTTGTTGTTTTTTTAATATTTAAAGATGTTCAATCATGTCATGTATTTATTTATTTTTTATGAAAATATAAATTTTATTTAAGAGACTTGCTATATATAATAAAAATATTTAAATATATTTTTTTAAATTTTTTTTTTATTGTTTTTATAGAAGGACACTGATTTGTTTAATATTGGAAAAATATCTCATGTGCAGGTCACAATTCTAAATATTAAATATAGAAGGGTAAAAAAAAGGTTGGGAACTCAATTAATTGTAAAATAATTTTTTAAAATTTTTAAAATTTATTAAAATTAGACTATGATATAAAAAATTAGAAATACAAGCCTTGAGAATTTTGTTGGACCATACAAACTCCTTAAAAATTGCGTTTTTCTTTGATAAATTCCTGTCAAGCCGAACATGGCTTTAAGCTTCTTGTAGGCCTAACCTAAGCCCCACAAACAGGTTCTTTAACATAAAAACAAACTTGACCGAAATGGGCTAAAAATCAAATGGCCCTACCTTCCTTTCAAAGCAAAAGATATTGAAAATCCAAATCCATAAACAAAGAAACAAGGAAGCCCTCACCTTTTTAAGATCAAACCAAAAATTATACCATCACCTCTCTCTATTTTTTCTATAATACTTGAAACATGTGCAGACTTTTTCCATTATATTATTTCTTTACCAAACAAGAACAATTAAATGGTGTCATGACTACTTTCGAAAACAAAAACTACATGTCTTATGAACTTTGCTACATCGGTTTTGGGAGACTGCAACGCTGCTGCTACTATTGCTGCACACGGTGCAGAAGGACTGCTGGAGAGAACGCTAATAAGGTTTGATAATGAAGAAGATTTTCTGTTGCTGAAATGAAATATATTCTCTGTTAGCAATGGGGTGATTAATGCTCATAGTGCAGAGTATGTGACGCTACTGAACTAAGCGGAGCCTTTTACAAGGCTGGGGAAGGCTATAATCCAAGTTAAAAATTTTTGATAAATCATTTTAGAAAAGTTATTTCTTTTTAGAAAGTATTTCAAGAAAAATAAATTACAGGAAAGTGAATTTTAAAAAAAAAAAATTCCTAAAAAGTAAAGTATTTTTTGATATTTGGTAGTATTATGCAAAATGAACTGGAAAACACTTTCCATTATTTGATTATGTTATAAAAAATGAACTGAAAAATAATTTATTAATATTTTATTTTTTTCAAATTTAGTAAAATAATAAGAAATAAATCTTACAAATTAAAAAGTTGAATAATAATAAAATTGAATTTTTTTTCATAAATTATCTCAAATAAAATAAATAATAATAAAAATAATAAAAATTAAATCTAAAAAAAAGATGAAGAAATTAAAATAATAATAATTAACATTTCATAAAGTATTTCAAATAAAATAAATAACAATCAAAAGAATGAGAATCAAATTTGATAGAAAAAATTTCAATAAAAAAATAATAGGAGAAAAGCAAATAATAATTATAAAAATAAGGACCAAAGTTAATATAAAAATTAAATTTTAAGAAATGAAATTGAAAAATAAATATTCAAAACAAAATATATATAGCAATCAAAAGTTTGAGAATCAAATTTGATATAATCAACAAATAATGACATTTCTAAATTTTTCATAATTTTCGGAAAGTGTTTTATTCCCAAATTTTTCAGGAAAACACTTTCCTGAAAATCAAGCCAAATTTTTCTTTTTTTCTTTGACTGAAAAGTGTTTTTCATTTACTAACTTTCCTAACAACAAATAAACACAAAAAAATTTGGAAAGTGATTTTTCAGAAACCACTTTCTGAAAAACAAACACAAGAAAGTTTGGAAAGTGTTTTTTCGGAAACCACTTTTTGAAAAACAAACACAACTAAAAAGGAAAATACTTTCCTGAAAACCAAGCTAAATTTTGTTTTGACTAAAAAATATTTTTGTTGACCAGAAAGTGTTTTCTGTTAACCAAAAAGTGTTTTTTGTTGACCGAAAAATGTTTTTCGTTGACCGACATTTCTAATTATAAACAAATACAATAAAATTTAAAAAATAAATTTCTAAAATTGTTTTAAAAAAAAACAAAGATGGTCTTAGGTCACGAAGACACTATCAAGTCTTGTATTAATAATCAAAGGTCAAAACTGCTCTTAGATATTTTGGACAAAAAAGAACTTTCTAAGCAATATAATATTAAATAAATATTTAAATTTTTATCAATTTTCATTACATACTTTCCCTATATTTACAAAGAAAACCTAGTGTCTCCTTTTTCCTTGCAACACCAGCCATCCGTTATTTTTCTTCTCAATAATATATAATTTTAACTTAAATTTTTTTTAAAAAATACAAACAGAAAATCGTATAAATATAAAATCATCAAGTAAAAATTTACAAGCCCAACTTTTTATTTTAAATTTAATATTTTATATTAATTACAGTAAATTATTAGTAAAGTAAACAGTAAACTATACCCTAAGAATTAATGTATGCTAGCACATTAGTAGTTTAGTATTCATAATTTAATGGTTATTTTTTAAGTTCTTCAAATTTCTGAGTAGTTTGCATCACTAGTTTATACTTTGTATTCTACATGTAATATTTTATTATGGCATTATATCTTTACATCTTACACCTGATTTTTCTAATCCATTTTGCTTGAATAAGATATAAATTGTAATGAAAAATCAAGGAAGCAAAAAAGAAAAAACTATATTTTCATTTTTTAAACCAAATAAACAAACATCAACTAGTAAAAGACATTCTCCTTCTAATGTTGGTATCTCAAATTGTAATGAACAACCCTCTTTTAAATCTCAAAAAACTTATATCAAAATAGATCTATATCAATCTAAATTAGTAGAGTATCCAAAATATTTTTAGACATAATATTTGTATTAATTTACAAGCATGATTGTAGATTTAATGCTATAAATTAGTAGCAGATTTTTTTCACACTAATACTGCAATCACTTATAGATTTTATGCATCTATAGATTCCAGCATCTTACTTAATATGCATCTCATTGTTGAAGATAACTATTTTATGAGTTTTGAGATTTTGGAAGTTGGGATATTGCCTTCGAAGTTTCTCCTCCTAAGCCAACATCCACGTGAATTAACAAATGGGGAAGTAAGAATAGTAAAATCTAAATCTTTGTACCATCCTCATTTTAACAATTGATTAAAATCTTTACATAAACAACTGAGAAGATGTTTGTCCGGTTGTCTCATGCTAACTGTTATTTTAGTATATTATATATTCAATTATGTTTAATACATATTCAATTAGTTGGTTTTACATGCCATTGCTATATTTATATAAATATACACAGTAATTGTTAATTTAATTTATCTTTAATATTTATATAATATTAAATTAATAAATCTACGGTGAATATAAAACTTATGAGACAAAAATATTTTTCAATAAAAATTATAAAATTATTATAATTATGAGATTTATATTACACTAAGTATTGTTCCTGAAATATTATTGGTCGATGCTTCTTTTAATACTGGATATTCATTAAAGACAATCTTTTTTTTATGAAAAGAAATAATTGTTTTCATAAACTGAAATATAAAGGATACTTAGAATTAATATATAGATACTTGTCATAAAATATATACACTAAACTGATCCACATGAGAATTTTATATGAAGAGATCATTTATATCTATGACACGCGACGGTTATATAAATGATACTTGAACTTGAGATCACTAAGTTATTTTATATAGAAAATATTATATTTTAATCTTATTACATGTTATCTTAATCAAGATAATCAAATGACATAATTTGAGTATAACATGAACTATATAAATAAACTTTAATGATCAAGAGAGAATTTATTACTCTAGGTGAATTAAGAAAAATATTTTATTTATTCTCAAATAATATTCACTGATAAATTCTTAACTAAGATAAAATGAGATTTAAAAAGAGTTTCAAACCTTATTCAAACAATCAATGATTTTATGTAGAGAACAAACATGATTTGACATGACAAATATATTTCATACTTTAATAGTAAATCAAGATATCATTGATGAAATAATATTAATTACATTGAAAAGATAAAATGAGATTTAAAAAGAGTTTTAAATCTTATTTAAATAATCAATGATTATTATTATGTAGAGAACAAACATGATTTGACATGACAAATATATTTCATACTTTAATATTAAATCAAGATATTATTGATAAAATAATATTAATTAGATTGAGAAATCGGTAACTGAAAGGTTAAGTGAAATCACTAATGACTTTTTTAATATTTAGGGGATCATGACACAATATACTTGATTTTCAAATATAAATTAATCAATTATTTAATTGTTAATAAATTAAATTATTTAATTATAATTATAATCCATACTTGGACCAACATATTATGAATCTAATAAATCATACAAATTAAGAACTATTAGTTAGAAATTAAATTGTGATAATTTAATTAAGTATGACTTGATTAAAATATAATTTAGAAATTAAAAAATATAATACAATTAATAAGGGGTTATATTTATAGACCTAGAAAAATTAAATAAGGACTTAATTAAGTTAATTTCTAAAATTATCTTAAATTAATATATAGATATTATAAGGTTTTTTAGATTTTTTTATAAATAGTAAGCTGCACCGGTAGTTTGTGTACTGATAATTTATGTTTATTAATATTGGAAGTCGGATAATTAATAATTTATGTTTTTAATAATACAACATTTAAAAAATTATACAAAGTCTAAAAAGATCATTCTTTAGATAATAAATCTATAAAAAAACTTTAAATTTATCTAATAAAATCATAAATACTTCCAAATAATTTCATTTTATAATTCTTGCTTCGCTGCATGTATGATATTCGGGAAAGCCAACACTGATACAGCAATTAAATTCAAGTGTTCTAAGATGGACACAAGTGAAGAAATCAAGATAAGACCAGAACTTCCCTTTCTAATTACTACAATGTGTTCTTCCTGTGAAGTTGATACTATCAACTGACAGGATTACATTCACTGTTTGAATCTAACAATACAACTACCTTACACGAACAATTGTTGATTTCAACTATCTACAAACATAAAGTCAAAATCATTTAGAGATTTGAAGGGAAAAAACCTTCACCTCAGAGGCTAGTGTAAATAGATATCAGCCATGCATCCGCCACATTCATGGAACTTGGACAGACTTCTAGAGTGATAACTAACATGCTTGGCATGCAACCAAATATTGTTCACGATCTGTTCATAACAAAATGCGATGATGTGAACATGAGATGTTAATTGCTAAAAGGGCTTACATCAGATTCAATTAAAAATTAATTCAGCTGACGAATCCTCATCAGAAAGACCCGATAACAGCAGGGTGGTATAGAGAAAATGATGAAACAGAAAAAGAAAAACATGGAATGTAGAGAACCCCTGTACCATAAAGGCAACCAAAGTTTATGCCTGCAGAGAACTTGAACATTAGACAAGGATTGAATTATGCAGAAAATAGAAGGATCGATGTAGAAAGCAATTCTACCAGCTATTTCATTCAACTCTTTGCGCATCACTGAGACTTCGAAGCACTAAAGGTTAACAAAAGCAAGTCCTATGAGAGTCTTATCGCTGCTTTCTTTTGGTTTTTATATGCAGCCATGCTCTCTACAAATTTTATTGTCAACTAATCTCTGCACATTGGATCATAAAATCAGCACCCTGATGACTAATTCTACAGGACCAAACAAAGACGACAAGTATTGGAGATTAAATAAAAAATGGTTACAAACAACAAGGAGAGAATTGAAAGGCCTTTTGCGCATAATGATGCCAGATGAGACAGAAACCAGCAAATGAAATTCTTTGGTTGGAGTGTCAGTGAGGGATGCAAGTGCAGAAGGGAATGACAAGGCTAACATATTGCTTTCTTAAAATACTTATGCGAGACCATACGCAAACAGCTAAGAGAAGAGACTAGCATAGTAAATTCATATCTTGCTACTGCAAACCCACCTTAGAGAATAGAAATGGAGTTGCCTGATGCAAACTACTACAATGCATCGCAGACAATAAAAAATGAAATGATATGCCAGTCTACCAAAATAACCTGCGAAATTTACAGCTATACATCAAGTTCTTCAATCAATTGAAAGTATGTTTTATAGATAATACCCTTGGGCAGAGCCGCGTGGGAGTATAATAAACAGAACAAACTATAAAGCCAGTCTGCCACGCCTTTCTGGAACTTTCCCATTTTCACAAAGTTCAATCATTCATACAAATAGAACATGGATAGTAATAATTCAGATGTGGAGAAGAGTAAGAATAACTTATTTGAAATTGCAGTTGTTGGTTTCTTTTTTAAGCCTCGAGGAACAGATTCTTGCAAAGAAAATTTAGATCTGACAATGCCCTTGGCTCAAAACCATTAACTACAAATAGAAAAGTTCTGGTATTTACCCTGAATAGTACTTGTGCATTTCATTTTTTGGTTTTCTGCAGACTGCATACAAGAGGAGATGAAAATCAGAAACACAAACCAGGAAACAAATGCATGAGAAGAATTAAAGAACAACAGGGAAATTATCGTATCATTTTCTTATATCCTATAGAAACTCATAATATCAGTAAAATAGTCATCTATTCCATAAAAATGAAACATCCATGCTCCTCATAGTTTGTAAGACATGGAAAGTGCAAGTATGTCTAACAAAATTAAGGTCATTCATTTTATAAAGGACCTACTGAGTAGTTTCCTTGCAAGCTGCGGGCACAGAATTAAGGAAAAACAGTCCACGGTAGGGCTAACAGTCACCCCAAGGAGCACTCCAATTGACAGTCCTGTCCTAGTCGAGTGAGTGAGGTTCTCTAAGAATTTGAACACATTGCGCTGTATGTCATGGATCGTAAATTCTAAACATGAGCAAAAACATATAATTCAAGAAAAATAGAAGCTTCATCCATGTTATCTAAGAATGTCTTTACAGACCAATAAGTATTAAGGAACAGGGATTAAATGAAGGTCTAACTAATCTTATGGAGCTTCCCTAAGACGAAATCTTCACGTTCTTGATGATTAATCAGAGCAAAATTTCTGAGGTCATCAGATTCCAAGGTATGAAACCTTGTTCTTCAACGTTTTGACAAGGAAAAACTATAAGAGATTCAAAAGATTGCAATTCACATTTCCATAGCACCAGCAGAATGTCCAAAAACCAAAAAAAAAAAAAAAACCCAACATAAGTAATTGCAAGAATCCAAAGTGCATGCATGTAAAAACTGCAAATACTTCGATTAGAACAATGAACTTACAGCTGCATCTTTAGTTGCCATCGCAACAAGTGCCTAACCTCTTTTCTTCTTTACCTTTTTTATGACAAACATCTCCAACCTCACCAAACTAAGAGAGCGAATCCCTCAACCTCTCTGCACTATAATCCTGACAGCCCACTATTTTTCCAAGTCAACATAAATATTTTCTCCCTTTCTTCGTCGCTGATCAAGCCCTTCTTCTCCCCCACTGCCCCAACATAGCTTTTATTTTCTCTATTTCTTAATGAAACACACTAACAATATTCACCTCTTCCATCTTTCTTTGTATTTCAGCAGGATCCAAAGCAAATGCAGCATATTCTGTCTTCAAGATCAGACATCATCTTCTGTGGCTTCGCATCATGCAGCGCATTTTCTTGACACACAAGGCAACTTATTAACACTGGACAAGGCTGCATAAGCGGTTGAGCTCAAATCCGAACCAATCAACCTGGTCTTATGTTTGTAGATGCAGAATCTGGTCTATGGGTGCATAATATATATGCTGTTGCATTCAGCAGCACTGGTCGCTATGAAAATCATTCTTCCAGACCCAAATGAATGGATGCAGAACATGAAATAAACAGAACGCCTGCTGAAGTCAACTTATGAGCTCATGAGCATGCAAATATCTCACAACTCAAAAGCTCAGGATGTCAGCAAGCTGAGAACTACATTTATAGGCAACTAAATTACAAAAGCCAGACAATCAGTCACCATATAAAATACACATTCAGAAAATTGTTACCAATTACAAATTTACTGAGACAATTTACATCTGAAACTAAAATGGATAACCAAATATTTTGACCAATTACAGCAGGGGCAGACTAGCAGCAAACGGGGTGTTGTGTTCCTTATATGTGCCACTCCTCTCCCCACAAGCTACATGCTTGCAACAATTGTAACTGCAGAGAGATGGTAACAAGAAAAACATTGCCTTAGATTCTCTCATCCCTACTATAAATGTAAAATCTTGTATAATACATGTACATAATCAATTCCACTACACTTAGCGCAGCAAGTATCCAATAAAAATAATCAAGATGAGCCCGGTTCAAATTATTGTCGAACCAGCTATAACATCCAATGCCACCAGTCGCTTTCTCAATGACAGAGATGAGAAAGCTGCTAAGAAATTTTCCTACACCAAAGATACTGAGGTATAGTGAAAGACCAACACTCTTTAAATCACTAGGGACCTGATCATAAAAAAGTTCTTGCAGACCAACCATGGTAAAAACATCAGCAACTCCGAACAAGACGTATGAAGGAACTAACCACCAAACACTCATTGGAACAGTCACATTTGGTTCATTGACTAGACCAGATTCTTGAGCGATTTCGAGCCTTTTCATCTCAACTAGAGCAGCAAATGCTATCGAAACAGTAGATAAAAACATTCCAGTTCCAATTCTCTGAAGCATTGCAATGCCAGATGGTTTCCTTGTTAAAGCTCTTGCAACAGGAACAAAGAGACGGTCATAGATAGCAATACAGAGGATCATGGAAATGCTGCTAAAGCTTTCCAGTGAAGCTGCTGGTATCTCGAAACCTGGTGAAATTGATCTATCCATGGTTGCTGCTTGCTTGACAAAGAAAGTTGAGGACTGTGGAAACACAATAGCATATCCCAAGCATGTAGTCCATATTGGAATAAGCCTGAGTACTGCCTTAGCTTCTTCAACATCACGAAAGGTACAAACCTTCTGATTTTCTTTTGAGCCATCTGTTGTAAGCAGTGCATTGTTTAAGAACCTGGAATCAATTTTTATCTTAGAGAAGCTTGACATGGCAAAGCGAAAGGTCTTTTGAGTAAAACTTCACTGATTCAAGACTACAGAGAGCAGAAGTAATCTCCCACTTGATAAAATATCATAGAGCATCACAATTTAATCTATATGGTGATGTAAAATCACTCCCTTCTGTACATCAGTGTTACAATCTCCACTGGTTGATGCAAATCAACAAGCACACTAAGACAATACAGCATCTTAGACCCATATCAACAAATAACCAAGAGTATCTCCTAACAAAATCTAAAATTGATATCTTTAAGTGCATCTCCTAACAAAATCTAAAATTGATATCTTCAAACAATTGCCAAGGATAACAAACAGCCATTTACTGATGCTAATAGCACATAAATCAGAGACATTTCAGAGGTAATTAACTGTTTTGTGGAAAGTGTTAAAAGTGCAAGGTGCACTTAAGCACCAGGGGCTATCAGAGGCTAGGCTTCAGGATCTCCACCTACTACAATGCGCTTTGGATCCCCAAAATGAATCATGGTGTTATACTGGTTATCCATACAAATGGTTAAATAGAATATCAGAGCTCAGATTGCTATCACAATATGATATCATGGACTTTGCATTGATCCTAACTGGTTAAAGCTCACAAAATAAAGTATTTTCAAACAATACCTTACTTAAAAATTTCCATCCAATTAAAATCTCCAGGTCAACTAGATGCAATTTGTGTTAAATTTTTAACCTCAAAGACGTGATAAATTCTTACTTGAACTGCTCATAACTTTGGTGAGGTATAGTTCCACGACCTTCTTCCTCAGAAGCTATTGAGGAAGCAGTAAATCGCCAATTCCTGAAAGCTGCCACAAAGACCTGAGCAATTCTCAAAAGTGCGTTGTTCCCTTCCCTTTTAACACTGTACCGATATTTCTTTGATCCCAGTAAGAAGATGATCAGTGCACAGATCATCATAATGCATGGGATTCCAAATCCAAGACTCCAACTAAGATTGTCTTGAATGTATGTTAAAACCAGTAGCGATACTAAGATGCCTGAACTCATAAAAAAATACCACCAATTGAAGAATGAGCTTTTGGCTTTGCACTCTTTGGTGTCTTGTCTATCATATTGATTGCTCCAAAAGCCTGGACACAAGGCTTGTGCCCACCTTGGCCAAGTGCTACTAGATAGAGAGCAATAAATAATAAAATCACTTGCAGTGTATTAGAAGAACAGGACATACTGTCACTTTGACACTCAGATGTAGGAAGCATAGCTGATAGAGTCAACAAGCCAAGTCCCTACAATTAAATTCAAAATATGACAGAAACTTTAAACCCAAAGCTGAAAAGCATAAGTTTATTAATTTCCAGGAATCACGAACAAATTGTTTACCCACTCCTCAAGAACAGTAAAGAAAGGATAAGTATATAGTATCTGGTGTCTTAAAGACACTACACAATCATGCTGACTATTGAATAGGGTAGGTTTAAAATCCTTAATTTACGTCCAGACAATCCAAAAAGAGATCAAGAAAGCAAACCTAAAGGAGGATGTTATCAACCTGTGAAGTCAGGTTTGGTTTCAATGAAAGAAACTGCAACCAATACGAAGTATAGCAGGCAATTACTGAACTTTGGCCACAACTATCTCAATTCCTCCTGAATAGACTATAGTTCAGTTGATTCTTGCAAAGATTAAGCTTTGAGAACTGTTTTCAATTTCCAAATACCTTGGTACTTCAAATAAACCCAAGATAGTTAAAAGGGCCAGGTGATCAAGAAATTTACAGGAAGGAGTGCTGTTTTGTCGATGCACAACTTTGTTTCAGCTGTCAATTCTTTACTACATGTGTGCGTGTGTGTCATCCATAGTTCACTAAAATGATGTGACTCGAAGCCAATGTAGATGGCAACTTTCATCTCGATTCTCGAGGACTGGAATATTTACTTGAGTTACTCAACAATCATAGATGAACATTTTCCTTTTAGAAAACCCAGCTAAATCTAAGAAAAATAGCTGAGCAGATACATCAGCCAACTTAGGATTGATGATACTTAAAAAATAAAATAAAATAAAAAATAAAAATAACTTAGGATTGATGAATAAAATAATAAATAAAAATCAGAACTTTTTTATTTGCTTTTATGAGACTGCAGGCCTACTTTATTTGTAATCCAAAGATCTGGTATCCTAGCCAAGCTTTCGTAGATTGAAACTAAGTGAATTTTGTTGGCATGTCATCCATATTCAAATTGGTGTATTCACGAGAAGTTTTTTGCCCACACCCTTTCTAGATTGGAACCTACAACGATGACACAGAGAACAAACTTTCATACTACCTAAGCCAACACCTCAATTGGTCCTTAGGACCACCAATTATAAACATCTAGAAATCAAACTCTCTAACAAATAAAATCAGTTTTTGAGAGATGTTTTCACCAAAATGTAGATAAGTGAGGCAATAATAATAGTCCTGCATCTTCCAAGAAAAGAATCAGCAACAAATGCACCGAACAAGGGCAGCAACGACGCTGTGCCTGACCATACGTTCACATTCTTAGCCGCAGTAACGGTTGATTGACCCAACGGCCCGGTTAAATACGTTATTAAGTTGGAAGAGATCCCATAATAAGCAAACCTCTCTGCAACTTCCACACCTGCACTTGTACACCAAACAAGCTAGTTAAAACACAAAATAATGGCTTTGGCTGGATTAAATCTAGAAAAAGAAACAGCTGTGTTACCTATAATGAAAGATGCAGACCTCCACCCACCAGAGTTGTATCTACAAACTGGGTTACCCTTATAATCAACGCAGTCATCAACAGTGTCGTTTAGGAGTGGAGTTCGGACCTCTTGTGTCTCTGAACTGGAGAGGTTAGAAATGGACATCTCAGTTTTACTACAGCTACTGATTACAAGTAAAATGACCAGCAATCAGAATCTGGTTCCAATCATGCTAAGTGCTAACATATGGAGGATAACATTTAAAAAGAATTGCCGTCTTGTTCAGCAAAAATATGTTTGGCTTTATTTGTTAGTTGGATTGTCAGCCTCTCTTATCTATATAATATTATTACAGGGAATCAATCCTCTGTGCTTAGTGTTCATGGCTGCAGTCCCCCGCCTCCCTCCTCGGCCATGTTGCGAGGGGCAATATAAAATAAACGAGAATACCTTTTATTTATTTATTTATTTATTTATTATTATTATTGTATTTACCACAACTTCTAATATTTTATAAAATAGAAATTTAATCCATTTAAATTTTTTAATGCAATCGGATTGAATATATGGATATTAAAATAATTTATGGGATGAGTTTATATTATTAATTTTTATTAATTTACTTTTAAAGGCTGAAATGCATAATTTATGGGTTGAGTTTATATTATTAATTTACTTTTAAAGGCTGAAATGCAACATGGTATCATAATACTCTCTCTACTTCTAATTTTAGTTCTAATTTTTATATATTTTATCATAATTAAAATTTAGTTTTAATTTCTTTTTTCTAGTAAAGAAATAAGTTTTTTTTCCATTTAGGTAGAGAAATATAATAAAAAAACCTATTAAAAAGCACAAAACATCTCTAAATAAAATAAAAAAAAATAATCAATCCATAACCTATTAAATAAGATAAAATGAGTATAAATTGACTAGGTTTTAAAATTTTTTGACTTATC